CATGGACATCTTTCTATGATAGAGCCATCTATCTATCTTATCTTTTTAAATGACTTCTTTTTATTCCTTTGTGCAGATTACCGTAATTTAACCAATTCCTCAAAAACATACATTTGGGTTGTTTCTAATTATTCGCTATTACAATAATGTCACAGCAGTATCCTTGTCCACATAGTTTTACCTACTTATATATGGATAATTCCTTAGCATAATTTCCTAAAAGTAAAATCCTAGATCAAAAGATGTGAACATTTTAAAATTTCATACTAATACATAAAGACCACACAAATGTGTACCAATACATTTGCACTTCCTTGATTGCTGTTATGCTACACATACATATTTTCATGAATATATACTGACCATTTGTAGTGTTTCCTTTGGGACTTGCTTTTGCATGGAGCAGCAGCAGATTTTAACCCTACAAATGTGTTTTACAGTTCAATCACAGATGAGAGAAGCAGACAGCACATAATTATGAGATTAAAGGTTGCCTATACAGAGCTTGTTCCCTATTTTATAAATACAATAAATATGAAACTTAACACACATCTTTAGTAATAAGCCATTCATATCTGTAAATATGTGTACTGCGTTGAATAGTGTCCCCTAATCCTCACTCCAAAATGCACGTCCACCTAGAATCTCAAAATGTGATCTATTTAAAAATAGTCTTTACAGATGTAACCAGTTGAGACCATACTGGATTAGGGTGGGACCTAAATTCAAAGAGTAATGTCCTTTTAAGAGTGAACACACAGAGAAGGTGGCCATGTGACCTTGGAGACAGACTAAGTGATGAAACTAAATGCCAAGGATTGCCAGCAACCACCATGAGAGAAGCACAGGACAGATTCCCCCCTCAGCACCTCTAGAAGGAACCCACCCTGCCAACATTGTGATGTCAGAATTCTGGTCACCTGAACTGTTAAGGAATAAACTTTTTTCTGCCATCCAGTTTGTGGCACTTTGTTACAGCAGCCCTAGGAAATTAATACAATACACATACCCAAAAGTGATACAAATTTCAAAAGTCAGGGTTATAGAACTTTAAAAAGCTCTTCCTATTTTCTCGAATAACATGATAAAAATGAATTTTAAAACAGGATGTTCTGAAATATTTAAATGTTCAGTTATATGGAAGAATGTCATTTTGTATAGTTACGCCCGATAACCTAAGAAAGGAAGCAGTCTCTCTAACCCATCTCCTCCTCTACATCCTCAGTAAAGATTTCCACTGGACACCTTCCCTACCAGTGATGAATGAACCTGAGTTTAGGTTTGGTAAAAGTATGTCTAATGATGGAGCGTTATTAACTCTAAAAACATCACCTACACACTCAACTTCCTCTCCACTCAGGAAAGTCACTTGAAACTGCATTAGTTTTAGCACCAGTGTTGCCTGAACAGATGTCTCTCCAAAGCCAGGCCCCGACCTTGAATTTCTGAATTGCCAACAATTGCCAACAGCCTTCTAAGGCTGTATAAACTTCCTGCTCTGGAAAGCGGTCAATCACATAAAAATGTCATACAAGTGACAAACAGAAAATAAAGGTGAAGTCTCTCAAACTCAGTTTCTTGTGCAATATTAAGACCAGCTGGAATGTAAATCTTAAGTTGAATAAATATATTAACTTTCTTGAGTCAACTGAGTCAAATTGAAAATGATGCATTTTATCTTTAATGTGAGGCTATAAAAATTTTCCACTGCGAAAGGAAAATTCTAATAACTGAACAGTATATCTCCTCTAAATGATTTCCTCGATATAACAGAACTTTTATTTCAGCACAGTATGGCTTTGAGGCAAAAAGGATCTGGATGTGAATCTCCGCCATACTACTTACTAGCTGAGTAGTTTGAGCAAGTTATTTAACTTTCCTTAGCCAGTTTCTGTCTTTCTGTTTCTTCCCCCCAGTTTCTTCATTTTTAAGATAAAGGAAATAATATCAGCTTCATGGAATTACTGGGAACGTTGAGTATAAATGTAACTAGCATAGCATTGGTGCTACGGTCTGAATGTTTGTGTTCCCCCCAAAACTCGTATGTTGAAATCCTAACCCCTGAAGATGATGGTAGCAGTAGGGGGTCATTCAGTCATGAGGGTGAAGCCCTCAACAACAGGATCAGTGCCCTGATGAAAGACACCCCACAGAGCTCCCCAGCCCCTTCCACCTTGTGAGGATACAACCAGAAGTCTTGAGACCAGAAAGAGAACCCCCACACAACCACCTCGGACTTCCAGACTCCAGCACTGTGAGAAACAAACTTCTGTTGTTTATGAACTACCCAGTCTACGGCATCTTGTTATGGCAGCTGGAAGACCCTGACATTTGGGAACACAGCAGGGCCTCTAAAAATGAAACGGCAGCTATTATTATCTCTCCTTTACTGGGAACCTAAGAAGCTCAGGTACGTTTATAAATAAAAGTGTTTAGTTTAACACGTGTAAATTGAGGACCAGCCATTAAATGACTCAAGGTCTCAGTGAATAAAGAAGAAAAATAAGATAATGGAACCCCAGAGTCCCACCTCTGATTTCCCTAAGCTACCATCTAGTCAGCACTTGCTGACAGTAACACATGACCCGGCACGAGGTTTTGCTATAATCACAATTAAGATGAAAACTACAGCCACGCTAGGGATCATGCTACCTTTGTTTGGGAATTTAATTTTACTTCATAAATATGAGCTGACTAATGCTAAATCCTCCTTTATTGAGTACTTTTATCTCTTGTAAACCAATCATAACCACTCTCCTAAAAAGAGCGTTAATGGGTATTACACCACAATCATTTCAAATGGAGAAACTAAATCAGTTTTACAGCTAAGACAGGAGCAAAAACTGAACTAGACTCTAAATACTATTCTTTCTAAAGAGAGAACACACTATTTCTCTTAAGCATTCACTATTCATAATTGATATTTTCTAATCACTATTTAATTCCAAAGATAAAATCATATGTATAAAATAACATCATCTGTAACACACCTTTCAGTTTCCCATCAAACTCAGGGCTTGTGGCCACCTGCAGTCCTGGATGTGGTAAGAGAAAACAGGTGACACTGGAGAAACATGAGTGAATGTGATTTCGGACATTCTGAATTTCTTCATGTTGATGTTCTTTCACCTGCCAACAAAGGCCAACGATTTACAAAAGTGCATTTGTTTCTCTTCACCAGTAACCACTGGTATGGGACAAAGGAAGTAAGACTTCACAATTCTAATGGATCACAGTTCTTGTCCAATGAGAAAACCCAGAACCTGAAGAAGCAGTAAGTGCATACATTTGATTAACTATGGCTTGGCTCCTATGGCTACCAAAGAACAGGTACTAAAGAGTTTCTTTTAAAAAGTATTGTGCAAGACTTAGGAAGAACAAAGGAAGGTTTGTGGGCACAAAGTAGGATCTAACCAGTAAGCAGTATTGACAAAGGACTTCTGTGTTTTAATTTTGGAGAACAGGCTAAGCCTGATTATATCCACACGAAAAGCAAATAAAAATTCGAATAAGAACAACAGAACTAAAGCTCTGAATGTGACATTCTAAAGAAGCACACAGACCCTCATATAAAATGTGAAACAGAAATTGTAACCAAAGCTTTGGGCTTTTGCCCAGGGTTCTTCTCTAATCCCTGTGTGTTATATACTCAGGTTTTCTAATATTACTATGAATAATATTAGTGTGTGCTAATATTCCCAAGTGTTTAACACACTTAATTTAATTTTCCATAATCTGCTTTAAATACAACAGCTAAAGGCAAATACGAAAGTTATCACGGGGGAGGGGATAGCTCAGTGGTAGAATGCGTGCTTAGCATGCACAGGTCCTGGGTTCAATCCCCAGTGCCTCCATTAAATAAACAAAATAAATAAATAGACCCACTTACCTACCTCCTCCTCCCAAAATTAAAAGTAAACAATATTAAAAAAAAAAAAGAAAGAAAGAAAGTTATCACTACTTTTAGGTAACTCCTCATAAGATTATATTTCTATTTACCTGTAGACGCTTTTCCAAAAATGACATTCCTCCCTGTAGTCCATAGTTGTACTCATAAGGGAAACTCCAGTCTCGAACCAAAAACATCAGTGTCTATTTAGGAAAAGAGCAGAATGTATTATAATGCTGCATAAATGCATTTTCAAAATAACAGTTGAAATACTTCTTTGCATAATGCCAGCTTCTTCAAAGGGGGCAAGAAAAATGTGCTGAAGGATTTATCTACTCTGTAATGTCTTAGAAACTTTACAAACAGTAGAAGGACGAGTATAAGCCATGTGTGAGGTCAATATACCCCATCTGATAATTTTTCCTCATGGGTGAACAGGAAGGGATAGATGAGAAGAGACTGATGAGAAAATCTTAAACTCCGGGATCTGCTCTAAAGGCAGGTATGAGGAATGTGGTGAAAGATGAGAAAACAATACAGCACTAGCTACTCAAAAAACTTGACCTACTGTTAATGTCAGAAAAGAAAACTGAAATAAATAATAATACTTAAAGATCCTCTAATATTACTGAGGTCACTGTACATTCTCATTCTCATAAAACAATCAGTTAAAGCAGGGGTCAGCAAACTTTTTCTGTAAAGGGCCAGAGAGTAAATATTTTAGGCTGTTGTAGCAAGAAACAGCCGTGGACAATACAAATGAGTGTAGCCATGTCCC